GTGGTTTACTTGAGACAATACCTAAGTAACATTTTTAAGAGAATAAAGTTTTATTTATGTTTTATTACGATTTTGTAAAAGCATAAAAATTAACAATTATTTTATTAGTTATTTTTTTTTGCTAATAGAACTGCAGAATAAATTGATCTTATTACTTGGTTTTATAGATTGTTTTAAATCTGTTTAAGAAAACTAGTTTATCCTAAAGTAAACTATGCTTTATCGCTGTCCTGTAAGGGTTAATTAATAAGTAATTTTAGAACTATTTAGTTTTAAGATACTCCTAAGGTGTGTTTGGTGTTAAAGAGGCATACTTTTTAGCAGTTATCTTAAGTAGGTTTTAAAACTTAGTTTTAAAAAGTGTTTTTTTTTTATTAAATTGATCCCAGAACCTTTTAGGTACATTTTCTACAATTTTACAACATAACTCTTATAATTTATTTAATCTAGTAAACCATAGGGCTCTTTTAAAACTACATAGTTTTAATAAGAATTTAAGTTTGTTTTAGAGCATAACCTAGCTTTTCAACCCAATCACATTATGTTGACGTTGAAAGATAAATTGTTCAAAATAAAGAAAAGTGGTAATTTCCATAGAGAATAAAAAAAATGTATATGTTTCTCCTTTTTCTCAGTGTTTAATAAGTTCATTCTGTTCCATTGTTTAACAAATATCAAACCATTCCTAGGCTCCTAATATTCTGGAAATGATCAGTGAAATAGAAAAGGGGTTAATATATTGTTACGCAGCACCCCGCAGTAGCCTGCGGCTATCCTATGAATCGTACAGATAGAAAAAGAAGTGGAATGTTATTCATCGCTCTACAGTGTGCTGCGGTCGTCATACGTAAAAGTACAAGTAAAAGAAGATAGAATATTAAAGAAATGTCCAGAAATGTCATTACTCGTCAAGAATATTCTAGATGACAGTTCGAGAAGGTTGGAGAAGGGTCAAACAAGCTATATAAGGATGATCCTGACATCAGTTTTTCAGTTTTATGATAGACTTTACATGTTAATGTTATCAGTTGTATAATTGTTGTTAAAGTTTAATTGAAATAAATAATTGCGATACCAAAAACCTGTGTAACATTGGTGGCAGCGGTGGGATATAAAATAAAAGTTTCACAAGCATTCAATTCATGGTAAATACAAGATCCACGAAGCAGATATGGATACTTCAGGCCCACCAGCATGGTTTTTGAAGATGAAAAAGGAGAAAAGAGGCGAGAGGAGGAAAAGGAAAGGCGAGAAGAGGAAAAGAAAAGGCGTAGGAAGGCAGGAGAGGAGGAAAAGGAAAGGCGAGAAGAGGAAAAGGAAATGCGTATGAAGGAAAAAGAGGAGGAAAAGGAAAGGCGCAGGAAAGAAGAAAAGGAGGAAAAGGAAAGGCGTAGGAAAGAGGAAAAAGAAAGGAGTAGAAAGGAAAAGGAGAAGAAAAAAGAAAGGAGTAGAAAGGAAGAGGAGGAGGAAAAAGAAAGGCGTAGAAAAGCTGAGGTAGAAATTATAAATGCTTTACTACAAATCCAGGAAACCTTCAAGCAAGAGGTAAGTCAGCTTTTAATTAGAGTAAGTCTGTTAGAGCAAACAAGCAAACAAATTTAGAACAGCAGCAAGAGTATTTAAAAAGAACTGAACTAGTTGAGTTAGAAAGAAAAATTCGTAGCCAAGCTTCGATAAGAAATAGAGCAACTGAAAATACTACCTCGTCCTTATCAATAACCGAACCAAGCCATATCCAAAACTCATTTTCACAAAGTCATACTAGTAAGACCATTAAGCCACCCACGTGTGACGGTCAGACAACATGGGAAACGTATCGACTCCAATTTGAAGCTGCAGCTACAGCCAATGACTGGACCGAGAAAGAGATGGCGGCTTCATTGAAAGTGTCACTGCGAGGTCAGGCGGCAACCGTTTTACAATTACGTCCCCAAGAAGAACCCAGTTATTCATCTCTCGTCCAAGCTTTGAAGACAAGATATGGCCAGCAGCATTTGCAACGGGTATTCCAAAGCCAGCTAAAGGTTCGTAGTCAGAAACATAATGATAGTCTACAGGAATTCGAGGCTGATATAAGAAGGTTGATTCATCTGGCCTATCCACAGGTGCCGAAAGATTTCCAAAAACAACTCGAAATACAAGCATTCATTGATGGACTACAAGATGTGGAAATGCAGCAAGTCCTTCGTCTATAACATCACAAGACGCTGAAGGAGAAAGTAATTGCATCCCAGGAATATGAAGCGGTAAAACTCCTATCCAGATCTTCTCGCGCAAAATTGAGGGAAATTAAATCCCAGGAAAGTGACGAGGCCAATACTAATGCTATTCCCCAAATCTTAAATAACCTACGAAATATACAACGAAATAGTTGAAATGGAAGCAGGAGATGCTTCAATTGCGAAAGAGTCGGACACCTTCAAGGAATCTGTAGAAGCATGGCCCACTCTATAAATCGAGAATCAGCGAATGAGACCGAAAAATCATATAGATCAATCTTTCCAAGCCCGTCACTAAGACCAACAATAATTAATTATAGTAGGTATGCGTCCCGAAGAAGCCGAGCCGGCTTTCTTACAATAACCAGAAAGTAGAGCATCGAGGAGGTCTCCATAGCAATGCAGACATTCTCTTTGGACAACCCCCTTCAGAGGAATAATGCTGGTATGGTAAAAGGCTTGAAGAACGAGAAGAACCGGTTAATAAAGTTACTCTTCGGGTCACCACTATCAAGCCGGAGGGCGACGAAGAAGAAATTAGCCTTGAAAGTTTAAGACAGGGACAGAAGAAAGACAAGGACTTAAAAGTTGTTCGAGAATGGCTCAACAATAAAGTCACACCTACTTGGCAAGAGATAGCCAAATACAGTAAAATTATAAAAGGCTACTGGACCCAGTGATATTACTGTATCTTCACGATGGCCTATTGCACCGGAAGTGGGGGAGCCCCAATGAAGAACATGTAGTCCGCCAAGTGATACTGCCGAGGTCACAGGTCGTCATACCTAAAAGTACAAGTAAAAGAAGATAGAATATTTCAGAAATGTCCAGAAATGTCATTACCCGTCAATAATATTCTAGATGACAGTTCGAGAAGGTTGGAGAAGGGTCAAACAAGCTATATAAGGATGATCCTGACGTCAGTTTTTTAGTTTTATGATAGACGTTACATGTTAATGTTATCAGTTGTATAATTGTTGTTAAAGTTGAGTTGAAATAAATTGCAATACCAAAAACCTGTGTAACAATATTATTACTAATTTTTATATTTTGAATGACTTGTTCGTAGAGTAAATAAGAAGCTTAAGAGTAAGGTTAGTTTGTGCCCGTCTGATTGAACTTATGAATGTTTTATTGAGGTTTTCGTTTTTACTATTGTTTTATGAAACGCTTTAAAAAGTGTAGCAGGATTTTTTAAAACTTGAAAATCCTAAAAAGTATTTATTTTGCTTTATTAGTTTTATAAGATAATGTCAGTTTTTAGGTACAGATAGAAGACAATGAGGAAATCTTTCCTGTTAAATATGGCAGTGGCTGTGTAACCACATATCATGTAAAATAGTACCTGTCTACCAGACCTGTACCTAAATAATATTCAAATAAATTATAATCAAAGTTCAAATAATCTTAAAATCTTTCGATTTTAGTAATGACGTATTTTGTGTACCAAAGACAGTGATAGTGTGTCAATGACACTAGTGTGCCAATGACAATATTGTGCCAATGGCAGTAAATTTATTATTTATGATTGAGTTTACTGCGTTTAACTACATTATGTCAAATTTGTTAAATATGTTTACAGCTAATTCCTTTTAGAGTATATAAATGTAATTTATATTAGAATATACTATAATGTAATGTTATACAACTCTTGCCTCGCCTAAAGTAATTTATGATTAAACACAAAGTTTGCAAAGACAAATCTACAATAGGATTTATATTGGCGGTTAAATAGTCACTTCCATGAAATAATTTGAAAAATACAAAATGTGATATTTTATATGAAAAACATATCGAAGACAGAGAGTATGATAAAACAGAATAAAGCTAAAACAGTTAAAAATTTAATTCTCTTAAAACTGATTAGTTTTGTAAAGTTTTTATGCCTATCCCACTTATTATCATTATCTTAAAAAAGATTTAAAAATGGTATAATAAAATTCGTAACATACTCTTACGGACTTTGTCTTAAGTCTAATTAGTCTTAAGTTTTAAAAATACTCCTAAGAACCGTTATAGGATTCTCCCTTTTACTCTTAAAGCAGATTTATAGCAGCCCTAAGGCTATCTCGCGGATTCAAAAGTTTTATCAGTGTCTTAAAAAAAGGTTTTATGGTTACCTTGTATACTTTGATAAATCTAAAAATGTTACTTGGGTAAATAAATACATAATCTGACTAATGTGAAACATCCCGAAAGCCTTGCCAGACTCATCTAATGATCGTCAGACGTGCTAAATTCGGCACGTTTAATTACCTGGCTTCTGAATCTGGCAAGGCCTTCGTGATAATAAATGTCAGCCAGACGTGTATTTTTTATAAAATTGTATTATAATTTATTATGTGACAAATTTTCAAACCCGCGAAAATGAGAGCAAAACTTTTCTATTTTTTTTTATTTTAAAGATGCTGCAGAATCATTTGCCAATTTCGTAAATCATCCATTTTTGTTATTTTCATAAATTTTATGTTTTACTTTAGTAAATATAAAATATTTATGGCTGGGAAAATAAGAGGACTTGTATTATTTTTTTTTTTATTTTTTAAATCCATTCAAAAATTTTGGACAGGCTCAAAAATTTTGTTTTTGTCACTAAGGGAACAGATTATTTTCATATACAAAGAACAAAAAAAATTCACTGCCTCCTGAACTATCCTTATGGCACTTATTAAAAATTTTACTATTAATCTAAATAATAATTTTTATTTATTTGCTTCTGATTTGGTCAATCCTGTATAAATACGAGTATATAAATTTATAAAAACTGTAAGAGATAAATATGTCGAAAACATCGTCAGTTTAATAGCATTCTTTTTAGCCAGTCAGGTGTAGATTAGTGCAGAATTGAACACAAACTTGAAGTATAAGGTCCCTTATTTGTAACGTATTGTCTACTAACACATTTAATTCAGTCTCTAACGGTGATAATAGTTGATAAAATGTCAACCGAACTAAATAAAATGCAGATCGATTTGATAGACAAAATAGCAAAAGAAAATGGTTTCATGGAGTACCAAGTGACGACTAATAAAGGCTCAGAAAAAGGTGATAATTTTTTGGGTATTTTAACACTAATTACGCTTGATAATGGCGAGAATAAACTAGAATTAATATTAAAATCGGCCCAACAAAAAGATACGTTCAGAAAAGTAGCACCGATTCGTCGCGCTTATTTGAGGGAGATTTATTTGTACGAAAATGTTTTTGTTGTGTTCAAAAAATACCAGGATGATCATAATATAGCGGATACTTTTGACTGTTACGCGAAAATATACGAATCTTCCACCGTTGAAGAAAATGAGTGTTTAATATTAGAAAATTTAAAAGTAAAAGGGTACCAGCTATGGAATAGAAAAATTTACATGAACACAGAACACATATCGGCTGTACTTAAAGAATATGGGAAATTTCACGCTATTTCCATGGCAATGAGACACAAAAATGTCGAATTATATGAAAAACTCACAGAAGATATAAAGGTAGGTATCTGGCTGGAAAAAGACGAGACATGGGATGCTCGCGTGAAATACATCAAATCAGTAATGGTAGTTGGTCATGAAGCTGTTAAAGATAGTACTGATCTAAAAGAGTTTCTTAAAAAAGTTGAAGATAGTCTTCCCGATTTAATTCATAAGGAATTAAGAACACCGGAGTACCAGCAAGCGTTGGTTCACGGCGACTGTTGGTGCAATAACATAATGTTTAAATATGAAGTAAGTAAAATATTTTTATTAAAAAAAATAATCAGAATTAACATTTCATTATTTTTATTTTACGTGGTAGTCAAATGATGTATTTATTTTTATACAACAATAGGTGCGAATTTTTTGTTTTGGTAAATTGCAAAAATTTATGAGGAAACAAAATTTTCTCAAAAAAATTTTAATCTCCCACGAAAGAATATTTATCAATATAAACTTTATAAGCAATATTTGCTTTGTTTCAATAAGATAAAGTCAAAAGTGATGCCGATTCTTTATTAAAAATGTATATTTTAACGATCAAAATGATTTTTGTCTATTTTTTTGATAAACTTTTTCATAAAACCTAACAAAAAAACTACCTGCTCCTTCTGTGTAACTTAAAATCCCGATGTTATACGTCGAGGGTTAAATGTTTTAAAAATAAAAAAAAGAATCGAGAATGGTGTCTTACAAATACCTAACCATTTTCCAAAATATATTCTTTCATGATTAAGGGATTTTTTAAGTAAAAACTGAAAATACGAAAATCGCAGTTCAGCTAAGGGAAATTTTTGTAACTATTAAAAATACGATTTGAAGAATAAAACCAAATATTTTTTGGTTTCTCACAAAAACCAAATACATCCAATAAACAAAATTTACAGGAAACGAAACGATCGTTTTATTATAAAGCTCTTTTTATACCAATATTTTTTGTTTATAAACGGGTTTCTTGTGAATATAAACACTTACTTTTACCAAGAGATACTGAGTTTAAAATACAGTTTTTTCAAAAAATGTGAAAAACTATTGGACTTGTTTGGTTCTTGTAAAAATTGTATTTAATTTGTTCATACATAAAAGGTAATCAAGTTGTTGGTCAATTTTTTATTTATAAGAACAATAACAATTATGGTAAAAAAGGTATTAGTCGTTTTCGGTTTTTCTTTTTCGTTCATTGCAGCCTTCGCTATTATCTTCTTGATGATTTTCGATTTAGAAATTCGGTTAAAATGTTAAAAAATAATGCCAATCACAGTGTGGACTTATTTGGTTTTTTTTTTGCGTTCTTGTGAAAAAGTTGATACGTTTGGTTTTTGTAATTACAAAGAAAAATAGCTTCATTTAAATCAATTGGATTTGGTTTAAGACAAGTTGTGATTTGTATATAAAAAAAATATATATTTTTTTTTTCGAAACAAGGTAATAACCGACATTATTAAAAATCATAATTTCAATTAAAAATTTCTTAGCCATAAAAGTCTTCTGCGATGAAAATTTATATTGCACATGAATTCGCTGAAGAATATAAATTGTTTATATAAAGATAATAAATAGTCTCTTACAACTAAAATACTGTTAGCAAAAATAAAATAATTATAACTTAACTTCATTGTTAGGAGATATGATTATTTATTAAGAGTTTTGTAAACTTTGTTTCTCCTTTAATAATTTAGTTAATATTCGATTTTTTATTTAAGCCAAAGTTTTTACTTGACTTTAAATATTACTTTTTTATACAGGGTGTACCAATAAAAACTCCCAGGCCAGATATTTTGGTAAATAACAGAGATATTTTAATTCTGTAAAAGCCAGTTCATAGAGCGCTAAAAAAGCTTCAGTTTTAAATATAAATTAATTTTAAATAGGTCAATATGTAGATGGCGCTGCGCTCAATATTTTCTTTTCGATGGGAGGAACTTTCATATATAGTGCATCTTGTAAAAAATGCATTTTTAAGCAGATTTTGTACTATGAATTAATTCGATAAATCTAGCCATTTTTGATATACAGAGTGGGTCACTCAAAACAGTTTCATCCTGTTTTTCGGCATTAATTATTGGATTTTAGGAAAATGCTAAAACAGGTCGATTTTTATTCCAAATTAAACACATTATTACAATACAGACATCTGTCATGTGTCAACCCCCTCTCTTGCATTATTCCAACACCTTAATTTTAAATAGGTAATGTACAATGTGTGGCACATCATTGAAAAGGTAATTTAATGGAGAATTCAGAAATAGTTTTGTATATTGTGTTACTTAAATTTTATCGCCCTCTAGCAAGATAAAAAACTACTACGTATTATAGAGAGTGACACTACAATGTGTAGTATATCATTAAAAAGGTAATTTTATAGGGAATTTAGAAATATGACTGTTTATTGCGATACTTTTAATTGTACCGCCCTCTATCGGGATAAAAAAAAACTGTACGTATTATAAAGTGTGACACCTTATTTGAAAGCAAATTTAATTACTCAATGAACCACATAACATTAATATAAATAGCTTCAATATTGCACTTGCAATAGTTTGAAATTATTCATGCATTATTTTAAACATTATTGCTAACTTTATTTTGTTGCAAGTGCAATATGGAAATATTTATATTTATGTTATGTGGTGCATTGAATTAGTAATTAAATTAGCTTTCAAATAAAGTGTCACACTTTATAATACATTACAGGTGTTTTATCCCGATAGAGGGCGCTAAAATTTAAAATATTGCAATAAACTGTCATATTTCTAACTTCCCCATAACATAACCTTTTTAATGATGTGCCGTACATAATACATTCCTTATTTAAAATTAAGGGGTTGGAGAAGTAGAAGGGAGGGGGTTGACACATGACAGATGTCTGTATTGTAAAAATGTGTTCAATTGGGAATAAAAATCGACTTAATTTAACATTTTCTAAAAATCCAATGATTAAAGCCGAAAAACAGGATGAAACTATTTTGAGTGACCCACTCTGCATATCAAAAATGGCTAGATTTATCGAATTAGTTTATATATAGAACAAAATTTGCTTAAAAATACATTTTTTACAAGATGCGTTATATAAAAAAGATCCTCCCATCGAAAAAAATATATTGAGCGCAGCGCCATCTACCTATTGACCTATTTAAAATTAATTTATATCTAATACTAAAGCTCTCTTAGCGCTCTATTAACTGGATTTTACAGAATTAAAATATCTCTATTATTTACCAAAATATCCGGCATGTGAGTTTTTATTGGTACACCCTATATAGAATTTAAATAATTTTTAGGTTTTTTTTCATTGTAGACAATTCTATTTCTTAAATTAAGATTTCAGCGGATTTATAGAGTCGTCCCTATGAATATATGTTAACATATTTGAAGGTGTTATTCATTGGTCGACTTCAAGACAAAAAGTTCATAATAATTCACATCTAGATCGACTTTTTTTCTGAGACAAAGGTTGTAGAAAGTTTAATAAAAAAGTTTTGTTATTTATCGTTAAACGCATACTAAATTGTAAATTATTATAATTTTAACTTTATATCATTGTATAGAGCTTTATCTCAAAAGTAGGCCTATTTGGAAAAAGATTTATTTGAATATTTTCTCGCCGATATAACACTTTTAAATAATACAAGAACGTAGGTATACTTAGGGATCACAATATAGAGCAAGCTTCAAAAACTGATCAATTTCTGATGATGCTAAAAAGGTTAACAAAACATTTTTCATTATTTTGTTGTTATTTATGACGTTGAAACCTTTCTCTTTTTGAAAATCAGATATGACATTTGGCAAAAACAAGAAATTAATAAAAACGTTTTTTAAAAAATATAACGCACAAAAATTAACACATTTTAAGTATTGAACTAAGAATCTTTAAGCATTTTTTTCAGTTATTCGAGAAAACTGTTAAATTATCTGTAACCTGTAACAAACAAGGTTTAAAGTGTTATTAATTTCGATATTCTGGAACAAAAATAAGTAAATCTAATATTTCTAAGAATTAAACATTTCTAATTTAATTAAAATATGTTTCTAAAACCATGTAAAAAAAATCAGAAGAAAATTCTTCATTAAAAATTTCGAGTGGTCGGTCTTATAACAACCACTTTATAGATATAATCCCCAAATATGTAAGTAAAATTGAGTTTTTTTTTTTAAATCCGATTTGTTGTAGAGAGGTAATTATAATATTTTTTGTGAAATATTTTAGTTAAGAGTGATATTATTAAAAAAAAAATCAAACTGAATAATTGTTTATAAAACGATAAAAAGTAAATAAACACAGACAGTTAATAGCTATCATCGCAATTACGATGGCGAAGACAGAGTGTTCTAACCCCCAAAACCCCTCTGTGGCTACGCCCCTGTTTATTGTAACTATATATATTTTTTTAAGATAATGTTATCTCTCCTGTTTTGATTATCGATTTACAAAGAACTTAGCTGTACAAAAATCAAAAATAAAGCGGCTTATTGCTTTTAGCATTGTATAAGTAGTCCTAGTAGGTCAAGCCCAATACATTTATTTGTTTGATACCAAAAGGAGACCATCACCAGGTCACTGTATAAAAAACTATAGTAGGATAATCGCCATGTAAAAGTTATTGGAGGCAATCGCGCCCGACATCTATTGGTACAATCATTGAACTAACGATTTTATTTCAGGGCAGTCAAGAAAAAGAAACTTTTTCTCCTCTGCTTGAATTGCTATTTCTAAAAAAAGAAAAACAAAGCAAAAGAGTTGAACTTTTCCCAAACTTCCCCCTCGCATCTTCTGTCGAATTTCTCATACAAAACAAAAAATACAGTTGACGGGCCCCCCTTATACCGCTACCGGGCCCCATTTCAGTCCGGGCCCCGGGAATTAGTTCCGGCTACCCCCCTCTAGTCGGACCTGCGCCCTCTACGTCAGATGTTAGAACCACAGTAATTTATAAGTGACAATTCCGTCAAATTAATTGTCAATATATATTTTTTTAGTTACTAAGATTAAATATAATTAAAAATTAGTGATTCTTGTGAAGAATCAATAAATAATAGCATTCCAAAAGATATTCGTCTATATTTAAAAATAAACAGATTTTAATGAAACTAAAAGCAATCTGATTATCAGTGTTAAAATGTAAAAGTTTATCGTAAGCCTCCATAACGAATATTTAGAGTGCTCGTCTATGAATCAAACGGTTCCGAGTTCAAACCCACGAGTAGACACTTTTTTTTATTAATTAATTTTATTTTCTAAATTGGTAAAA